AGGCACCAATTTCAGAACCTCAAAAATTTTCAAGTGTCAGGAAGAGACCAGACTGGTGGTTAAAAGAGAGCTGTGCTCTTTCAGTGCCTGTGTAAATGTACTCAGTGACAAAGGAAGCTGGAGCTCTCAGGTCTGTTTGAGTCTTACAGATTGTTAATTGAACTCCAAATCAAATTTGTCCACAAGCTGCCAGACCTGACCCATGGGAGAGAGGGGGCGGGGCCTACAATGGATCTTGAAACAATTTCCTGGCCACGGAAGCCAACTGTGTGGCTCTATCCAAGGCAGGGGCCCATAGGCACCCAGCCCTCTCCAGTAACACCCCCTAAGATTGTTCTCCACAGAAAAGCTTCATAACCTTTCACCTGTAAAAGGTTATGCTCTATGTTTTGAAAGACTATCTATCAAAATGAAGTAGACAGTAATCTCCCAGTAATCCCAGAAATAAGGAACTACTAAACAATACTTCTAACCATCATGGGGCAACAGAGATACCAGGCAAAAGAGCTTGTCACTTTAGATGAAAACTCCTAAACAAGGACCTCTGCAACCTTAGGGAGAGTATGTGATTCTGCTTTTTCAAACTGGGAAACTGACACTGCATCTAGCAATTCCACTTTCAGAAATAATGCTATAAAACCACTTTCATGAGTATGCAAAGGTGTATTTGTACAAGGAAGTTCATGGCAAAGTTCTTTATAATAATAATGGACATTACCCAAATATCCATCAGTAAGAGAATAATTAAATAAAGATCCATTCATTCAATGGAATACTCTGAAGCTGTTGAAATGAATGAGGTAAATCCGAATATACTGACAAAGAAAGATACCAGTCAATTTTATTGAATGGCTTCGTGCCAGGATCCATATCCGTGATATAGTAAGTCGTTTAAAATAGCATCTGAAGTATACATCCAATGAGGGGGTTAAAAAAAGATACAGACATATATGTAGAAAAAATATCCTAGAAAGGTAAAAGAGAAACTTGATGGTGATTGCCTCTAGGGTGAAGGGAACAGAAGGAAGGAAGGAAGGAGTGGAGGAAGGAAGGAAGGAAGGAAGGAAGGAAGGAAGGAAGGAAGGAAGGAAGATAGGAAGGAAGGAAGGAAGGAAGGGAGACGGGGAGGGAGGGAGAAAGGGAGGGAAGGAGGAAAGCAAGCAGGCTTTGACTTCTCACTTTACATATTTCTGTGATTTCTGCAATGCTATTTTTTTTTTTTTTTAAGTAAGCTCTACACCCAATGTGGGGCTTGAACTCATGACCCTGAAATCAAGAGTCCTACGCTCTACTGACTGAGCCAGCCAGGTGCCCCAGCTATTTTTTAAAATCATCACTACATATTACGTTTTTATTTATTTTTTTTTTTAATTTTTTTTTTTCAACGTTTATTTATTTTTGGGACAGAGAGAGACAGAGCATGAACGGGGGAGGGGCAGAGAGAGAGGGAGACACAGAATCGGAAACAGGCTCCAGGCTCCGAGCCATCAGCCCAGAGCCTGACGCGGGGCTCGAACTCACAGACCGCGAGATCACGACCTGGCTGAAGTCGGACGCTTAACCGACTGCGCCACCCAGGCGCCCCTACATATTACGTTTTTAAAGTTAACAAAAAAATATACTGTAGAAATGTACAGACTATTATACAAATTTTGTAAAGTGCCAGAGGAATATACACCAAATTATTACAGTGTTTGTCTAAAGACACTGTGCATTATTCACTCCTATGTTTTAACTTTTTTTTTTTTTAAGTAGGCTCCATGCCCAACATGGGGCTTGAACTCCAGACCCTGACATCCCAGAGTAGCATGCACTATAGACTGGGCCAGCCAGGCGGCCCAGTTTTAACTTTTAATATTATTTCATAATAAAAATTGTTATGAATTCCTTTTTTTGTTTGTTTTAAAACAGCTCCATGCCCAACCCACACAAGGTTTGAACTCACAACCCTGAGATCAAGACCTGAGCTAAGATCAAGAGTCGGACGCTTAACCAACTGAGCCACCCAGGCACCCTGATTTCTCTTTAGAATATAGTAACTCAGGACACCACTTCCCAAGGACTCCAGTTAGCACTGCTTCACATGGTAATAATTGGTGGGCAGAGACTCCTGCCTTAGGGTGAGAGGAGAAAGTTCAAAAGTTTGCTGTGTCCTCATTTAATCATGACCCCAGCTCCATCTAACACATCCCACCACTGGCCATCCCACCATCAGAAATACAGACTCTGGCAATGTACCTGGAGTTCTCCTTCCAAAATCCCAAAGTTCAACCCACAAATATTTACTGAACTCCTGCTGTGGGCCAGGAACCCTGCCAGGGGCTGTGACAGGCAAAAAGAAGGTTGCCATAAACTCTACTCTCAAGGAACTTACAGTACAGATGGTCCCACATCAAAAGTCTCTCTTATGATGCCCTTTGAGGCCACTTCAAGACTGGTAGCCTGGAAAGGGACCCTCTGAGATAATTTTCCTCCGCAAAATGAAAACACGACATTTTTTTACTTTAGCATCATATCAGACACCATGACAATAGAAGGCTGTCCCAAGAATTAGCTCAGTGATGACCTAGCCAATACAAATCCGCTTAGTATTCACTGAGTAAGATTCTTGGAAGGAAAGAGATTTCAAATAAATAAATCTCCTTCTAGCTCTCAACAAGCAGAATTACTTCCATTCTTCCAGGGCTGTACTTCTCAAAATTTTCTCTATGCACCCTGGTATTGAGGGGGACAGCTGTTCTCAGCTATCTGGAAACTCAAGGGTCAGTACTTTGGCATACCTACAGCTCATTCATATCATACAGTCGGGAAGCTCTGAAAAGGACAAAATTGCCCACATAACATGTGAACACTTGTAAAGTAAAACAGAAGGCCAAACCAAAGTCTCACTCATTTAACTATGAACTTGTGACTGACAGAGATCCCCAGTATCTATTTCAGATTCCAGAGACAGTAGGATCTTCAGGGGTATCCCATTCCAAGTGAGGTGCAACTCTAGCTCGGTGTCAGGGGCAAACAGGTTTCCTGACAGTTGTACTTTCTCTAGCTCATCTATACAACTTAAGAAGTTCAGGAATTGCAATTAAACGGGGAGAAAGTGCTTATACAACAAACCTACCCTCTAATGAGTCAGCATTCCAAATTTCTTCCAGGGGAAAGACCAACTGCAACTGCCCTGAGGAGAAGCACAGTTTTGTCATAGCTTTCCTTGATAAGCAGAAATTACCTTGAGGAAATTACATAAGGCAGCTTCCCACATGAGACTCAATTTGAAGAGCCAACAGGCTTCCTGAGATCTCCTTTTGATAAGGGACACACTCTGGGAGAACAGCCATTAATGATAACGATGTCTTCCATTTCCTGAGTTCCAACTGTGTTAAGTATCTTATATGCACTCCCACTCTTCTATGCAACTACACACAGTAGCCATGATTACTGCTATTTTGGGATGAGCAAAGTGGGACTTCAAGGACCTCAAGATCTCACAAACACCAAGAAATGAATCCAAGTCTTTCTGATTCCAAAGCTCAAACTACTACCACAAACTACTCAAGAGAATCATACTGCCTCCCCAAAGTATGGGCAATGAGACTCTAACAGGAGTTCATATGGCACAGCTAAGCCCTTCCCAATGGACAAAGAACACCCAACAGTTTCCTAGTGCAATGACAAAGATGTTCAACTAGGGAGCAAAGTCACCTGAAGTGTTTTTTGTTTTTTTTTTTCCAAAATACAATTTCCTACCAGATTCCAGATATTCTGAATCAAAATATCAGAGAGTGAGACTCTTGAATTTGTATCTTGAAAAATTACCCCATGAGATTTTAGACCATCAAAGTTGACAAGGCTGCACCACCTACCACATGCATACATGTGCATGTGCAAACAAAAGATACACATTTGCTGTGCTCATCTCAGATCGCGGCCCCTAATAGGAGCTCAGTAATATAGCTGAATCTGGTTCTAAAACCAACAACCCATCCCAGTCCATTCAGCTCCTACTTTATAGCAGGCACAGAGCCAGCCAGACACTCAGATGCAGACAGGAGACTCACTCCCACCATCACGCGACACAACATGATATACTCTACAGTAGTCACATGAATAAAATGACCGAGGAGCCAATGGTTACTTGTAAAGCAAGAGAGGCTTTTCCAAGGAAAGGTAATCTAAGATGGATTTTAAAGGATAGATGTAAATTTTCCATTCTGGTGGTTAGGGGAGGGGTAAAGAAGAGTATTTCAAAATGTATTACAAGTACAAAAATGAAAAAGTATAAAAGTATTGAAACACTGAGCTCAGAAGGTAGAAGTGCCCAGGTATTGACTTCCGGGTCATGCCTCTACCAGATTATGAAGAACCCTGAATGCCTTACTAGTGAAGCTTGGACCTCATCCTATAGGCACCAGGGATCCAGTTTCATGCAGTGAAGGACTTATTCAAATTTTCAGGTGGAAATTATCGCTTCAGCAGCTTCGTGGAGGGAGAGTGGGCGTGGGGAGCTGAGTGTCCCCTTATAAACTGAAGGATGATGGCTTGCGGAGCAGGCAACCCGGCTAGGCTCAGGCCTGCTTTTCCCCAGGCTGAACACGGAAGCGACCAGCTGCCCCAACAGCTCCTAGCGTTCAGTCGCAAAGGCGAGGTGTGAAGTAGGTGCCGGACATGCAAACGCAGTGAGGACAACCTGCTTAGTTCACCGTGACCGACGCCGGCTGGTTGAACAGCGGGCAGGGCAGCTGACCACGTCCACCAGGCCCACACAGCCCCAGACATCGCGGCCACCCAGCACAGGAGCACGTTTTGAGACCAGTCCAGCCTCGTACACCGGGGATCCCAAGCAGCCACCTGGCCTGTTCCCCAGTCCCGCAGGCCCCTGCACACTGGGCTCCTGCGGGGCTCCCTGGGCAGGGATAGGCCCAGTGCGCCAGGAAGCGACCGTGGCCGCAGGTCGTCAGTCCCTCCCGCCCGTCGGGCCGTCGCCCTGCGCCGTGCCGCCTCACCTCGCACGGGCGGCAAGGTCTTCGGCGTCTCGGCGGCTGTGCTGACCCTCTCCGGACCGCGGACAGGGTCGCCGCCGCCGCCATCCTCAGGCGTCAGCGTCGTGACATCATCACAGCGCGCGCTTTACGCCAAAACAAACCCAGGCCGCCCCTGGGGCGGGGAGGGGCGGACCCTCGGGAGAGCCGGGCTACGCGTTTAGCGCCTCTCCCAGCGTGGCCTGCCAATTAACGCCTTCGGGGCCGGGACTTACTCTCTACTGGCCGGGTGAATCAAGTTAACCCTTAAAGTAGCTCGACCTTAGGCACCGAGAGGACCCGCGGAAGGTAGAGACAGAAGTGTCAAAATTTCTTGTTAGGGCAGAGGGTGCTCTGTAGTGCGAGGGTGGGGACATAGTGCGTTTCAACAGAGGTTTCTGAGGTGCCTCTGGAACTCTGCTAAGGATCGTTTTAAAGTTCATTAACAAATCAAAAATTTGTAACTGCAATTGAAGTAATTTAGGCATTCAGAAGTGTTAATTTGGCTGTCATCACGGTGGAGTTGCAAATGGTTGAGGATTGGTGAAGGTTAAGTCAATCTTGCGCTAGCTTCGGAGTAATGAGTTTTAAAATTTTTGTTATTGTTATTGAATTTAAGTGTATCCTGAGACTTTGCAAATCAAGTAGATTTAAAAAAAAAAAATGCTACCATTAAGACTTCTCTATAAGGGGCGCCTGGGTGGCTCAGTCGGTTAAGTGTCCAACTCAGGTCATGATCTCGTAGTCCGTAAGTTCGAGCCCCACGTGGGGCTCTGTTCTAACAGCTCAGAGCCTGGAGCCTGCTTCGGATTCGGTGTCTCCCTCTCTCTCTGCACCTCCCCCGCTCGCATTCTGTCTGTCTGTCTCTCTCTCTTAAAAAGTAAACATTAAAAAAAATTTTTAAAGACCTCTATAAGATCAGAATTATCTCACTACTTTACAATAAACTCAAACTGCAGGGGTAAAAAGTAGATGACACAGGTGATAAGGGCATTGTAACCTCCATCCATCTTCCTCATTTCAGTCTGTTCATTTATTAAAATATTGAGTATTTATTTCGTACATGCAATTGTCTTTGACTGTATAAGCCAATGTTATACTTTAAAGCTAAAAAATACATTAACATCAATAAAACATCATGGTTTGTTTTATGCACTAGAGTTTCATAAAAGATTTTATTTAAGGGACACCCGGGGGGCTTACTTGGTTGACTGTCCAATTTCAGCTCAGGTCATGATCTTGATCATGAGTTCCGGCCCCACATCAGGTTTGCTGCTGTCAGAGCAGAGCCTGCTTGGGATCCTCTGTCCCCCAACTCCCCCGGCCCTCCTCTGCTTGCACTCTCTCTCTCTCTCAAAAATAAACATTAAAAGGGCTCCTGGGTGGCTCAATCGGTTGAGCCATCAATTTGGCTCAGGTCATGATCTTGTGGTTGGTGGGTTTGAGCCCCACTTCGGGCTCTGTGCTGGCAGTGCAGAGCCTGCTTGGGATTCTTTCTCCATCTCTCTGTGCCTCCCCACTCACACTGTCTCTCAAAATAAATAAAGAAAAGCTTTAAAAAATTAAACATTAAATAAAAAGATTTTATTTAAAAAACACCTTTAGGGGTGCCTGACTAGCTCAGTGGAGTGGATGACTCTTGATCTCAGGGTTGTGGGTTCGAGCCCCATACTGGGTGTAGAGATTACTTTTTTAAAAAATTAAAGGGGCACCTGGGAGGCTCAGTCCATTAAGCGCCTGACTTTTGATTTTGGCTCAGGTCATGATCTCACAGTTCATAAGATGGAGCTCCAATGGGGCTCTGTGCTGACAGCACAGAGCCTGCTTGGGATTCTTTCTCTGCCCCTCCCCTGCTAGAGCTCTCTCTCTCTCTCTCTCTTAAAATAAACAAACATTTTTTAAGCTATAAAAACATGTTTTAATTAAAAAAAAAACCTTTAAAAATCACTCCTCTCCCCCGCCCCCACAAAGAATCACTTCCAAAAGTCTAGTGTGATAATTAAGGGCATGGACTTGGGGCCAAACAAACCTGGGATCATATCCCAGATACTTCCACAGCTGTGTGACCTTGGGCAAGACATCTCCCCTCCTTAAGCCTCATTTTCCTTATGTTTTATGGGGATCATAATCCTGACCCCACATCATTGTTGTGAAAGGTTAAAAGTAATATGGAATTCAATGGGGCACCTGGGTGGCTCAGTTGGTTAAACATCAGACTTTGGCTCAGGTCATGATCTCGTGGTTTATGGGTTTGAGCCCTGCATCAGGTTCTGCCCTGACAGCTGGGTGCCTGGAGCCTGCTTTGGATTCTCCCTCTCTCTCTCTGCCCCTACCCCACTTGCGCGCTCGCTCTCTCTCTCTCTCTCTCTCTCTCTCTCTCTCTCTCTCTCTCTCTCTGTGTGTCTCTCTCAAAAATAAGTAAACATTTAAAAATTTTTAATTAAAATAAGTGTCTCTTAATTTCCGCTCAGGTCATGATCTCACGATTTGTGAATGGAGCCCCACATCAGGCTCTGCACTGACAGCAGGAGCCTGCTTGGGATTCTATTTTTCCCCCTCTCTCTGCCCCTCTCCTTGCTCTTTCTCTCTCTCTCAAAAATAAATAAATAAACTTAAAAACTAATAAGGAATTCTAGGGTTGATAAGGCGTAGAAATCCACACAACACCCCAGTTTTACAGACATTCAGCAACTTAATTCAACAAGTATTTATTGAGCCCTTGCTACTGGCAGGTGCTGGTCTGGGCTCTGGTAAAGATCAAAGGGCCTTGAGATGAAGAGGCATGTTAATGCAGAGGGACTCAGCTCTGGACATTCAGCCCCCAGGCTCTACCCTGAACAATAAGCTTTTCCATAGCCACAGAGCTGTAAATGTAAGACACATCATCACCATGATGCTCTGGGCTGGGCAGATGTGTCTGGGGCCCAGTCTGCCTATCAGCCCACCCCTCTCCTCCAGCTCTGGGATGAAACATACAAAGCTCTTAAGCCCTTGGCCAGAAAGCAGATTCTATCCCCACCCCCATGCACACACTCCAGATCACTCACTTCCAGGGAAGAGCAGGGACTTAGAGAGCAAAAACCAGGGGAAAGTAGGGCACAGCAGGAGGATAGTAATCCCTCTGATGGCTGGCCATCACAGTTGGGCCCCTGCTCCTAGCCACCAATCAACAGTGGCTTTGAGAAGACTTTTGGGATTTGGATCCCCAGCATCATCCTGCCCAAAGTATGCCCAGGCTAGGTAAAGGGGCTGCCCCAAATGACATATCCTCCATGCTGAGGTCATTCTTGGTCCAAGCTCTTATTGATATAATACTTTCTATGCTAGGCTTAGAGATTCTTTCATTCCACACACTTCTACAAGTGCAGCCTTTATACCCAGCCCAAAAGTGGGTGCTAGAGACATAAAGAATGAAGAATTCTCACCCAGACCCAAATAGTAGCAAGTCACTGTTATCAGTATTGAGACAGAAGACAGCCGGGGAGCTGTGTGGATCTGCAGGCGGCTTCTGATTCAGCTTGGAGTCAGGGTTATGAAGGAGGTGATGCTGAACAAGAAAAGGAGTTCACCAGGAGGATATGGGGAAGGGTATTCTGAGTACAGAGAATAAATGTACAAAGACCCAAGGGAATAAAAGGCTGGCATTTCCTTCTGGAAAATTCTGGTCAAAGGGGGGCAGTTGTGGGAGGAGTTTTCTCCTGATTTTTCCCCTTCAAGTCATGTGAGAAGATGGGTAATGACTGGATGGGAGATAGAAGTGGAGATAAAAGTACAGGTGAATGAAGCACAGAAGTCAAGGTAGGGCAGAGATTGCTGATTGAGGTATCTGAGCTAACTGGAATGGGAAGGTGTTTGGGAAGCATGGATGAAGTAGGGCTCCTACATGTGAGGATGGAAGTCTCTGGAGGCACCTATCACCCTGGAGCCAAACAATGGTTCAATTAGGCCCGATTCTGTCCTGGGAACAATAGCTCCCCGGCATGGGCTCTAGTGTATACCTAGTCTGCCAAGCTCTAAATGCCAACCCTGATTCCTTTGGGCCCCTCTTGTAAAGCCCTGTCCAATTCAGCCCCATCCATTCTGACCTCTTCTATCACCCTCATCACATGCCTTCCCTGAAGGCTCCCCTGATGTCAAGGACTAGGTAGGCAGATCACTGCTCCATGCTCAGGTAGAAGGGAGTTGCAGGAGTGGACTGAAGCAACTGTGGGCAGAGCTGGTTTATGCAGGGCCCCGCAGAATGAGGGCCTCATAGAATGAAAAAGAGCTTAACATCAGAATCAGTTCTCAATTTTCAAAAATGGCAAATAAGGCAGAGGGATTGTGAGCAGAAGTCAGTGAGTTCACGGCACTGCCCACACAAGTCATGCGGTGGTGGTGGGAGAGTGACCGAGAGAGGGTCTCACCCTCTCTGAGGACCCCTCCTTCCCTCAGGATTCTGCCCATGCAGATTCTTTCTCTTCGCCAGAGTGGACAGGGGCTCCTCACACGCATGCTCATTCCATGCTTCCAGAAAGTCTTCTGGGATTGTTGACTTCACAATGCATACCTCTTCTCAAAGAACAAGCTTGAGTAGAGTCCAGAGGAATCCTCATTATGACCGCAGTTTCTGCAGCTCCAGGTCACCTCAGGGACTTGAATACAGACCCCAACAGGGACTCCCCACTTTCTGGAACAGGCTCCCCTCAAGTAGATCAGGACCCCGGAGAGGGAGAGGACAGAGCACTTAATCTGTCTTGAAGGCTAAGGTGGTAGTTAGCAGAGGGAGGATGAGGTGGTGGCATGGCAGGAATGTGGAGGCTGGAATGTGGGGATGGGGGTGGACTGGCTTGAGGAGCTTGGGGGTGAGGTGGTACACTCCACGCTCTCACCTTGCCTGTAAAGGCCAGGATATGAAGGGCAGGCAGGGGTAGGAATGCCAGCCTGGGAGAACAGAGGAAGGCTGTGCCTTCCGGTAGATTTCAGGTCACCACCAGAGCTCTTGGAACCTGCACACAATGGAAAGCTTTGCACAGCCAGCCCTGGGAAATGAGTGTCTGTAAGTAGAAAGATTGAGTCCCCTGTGGCAGCCATGGGCCCCACCCATCCAGTCCTAGGGATCAGCTTC